CACAAGAATGCCATCTCAGCAGATCACGTCAGAGTGATAGAACTCATCGATTAGTCATCATTTAATTGTTAGAACTCAATATTGCATTTATGCAGTTTAACACAAAGCCTCCCATGAGAAAACCTTCACTCAAACACACAAACATCTGTTTATATTTTATAGTTAGTTCCTTCCCCAGTGTATAGGTTGAGTTTCTGCAAAGCTTGCTTCCCACATTAAAAATGGTTCCAGTCTGTAATTTCAAACAGAGCAAAGTTCAACAAAACACACACTTGGTTCTCAGTCAGCCTGCCAGGGATTAAAGAGAAACAGTTAAGCGACTCGGAAGAGAAGTGAATGCCTTTTTCTTCTGTCCCAGAGGGAGGATGAAGTGAGAAGGAACGATGGGGAGCGCCGCTCTCAGGGGTACCGTATCAAGGGCCCTCAAGCACCATCTTCACATGCCTCGTCCTCTGAGCAACCTGGGAGCCACAGCTTCACGGCTGATGCCTTCCGGGCCGCCGCAGTTAGCGGCCTTGGGCGGCTCCGGCCCCCCTTCTGCCCCACCGGCTGTTCACCAGGAGAGAAGGCCATGAGGATATGCCGAGCCGGAGTTTACGTTTCGCTCCGAGCCTCTCACTTGGCTAAACATGAAAGGAAGGCTTTGGAAGAAAAACTTCGCAGCCTACCCTTAGGTTTACAGCTGCCATTTACCCTGCCAGCTCTTTGAGAAAGCAAAAACAACAGGAAAAAAACCACCAGACAAAAACCATTTTGGCAATTAACATATAAAACTCAGAAGACTCCACACAAAATAGGTTTCTTAGAATTATTTCCTCAGTCCTTATGCAAAATCCTCATGCAAAAATATTTGAACTTCTAATACTACTGCTGATATACAAACTGTTTAAATTAATTTTCAGCTAAGGCATGGATATACATACATTTCACATGCCAGATTCCTTTAAAGAAAATAAAATTAATAATATATCATGACATCACAACAAACAGTTTAAGAAGAATATAAAAAAAAAAATACATACGCATTCATATATGAGAGGCTTGGGTCCCTCAGATTTATTCTTCCAACCCAGATATTTTGTCTTAGAAACCCACAGAATTTGCTTACAATTTTCCTCTTTGGATTTATAGTTTGTCTTCAGTCACCTTATTTCGAACTTTACTCTTATTTTTTTGATGGACAATATGCAACTGTATGTATTTTTCATGAGCTTAAGCCAAGAGAAACTTATGCCTGCACAGAAACATGAGATCTGATTTCCTTTTAAAAAGGACTTTTCTGTGGCCGAAGCCCAAATGTAAATATGCTTACACTGGCGTAAAACAGTGCTCATTGTATAACCTACTGCACTTGGAGAACCAGCATAAGCTAAAGTAGCAGAAATAGTAAATCCCCTCCCAAGGAAATTAATGGAACAGAGACCAGGTCATCTGCAACTGTCTCCTTCCAAGCCTCCCCGGCTGTGGTGCTGCTGGCTGTCACTTTGCCAATGAGGCAGGCATTCCCTGTTCTCCGGCTGGGAGACTGGGATGTGGCCTGGGCTTCCCTGTGAATCTCCCCAGAATATCCATGCTGTTTTCACCTGTTTGACACACACACCGAGTGTCTTCAAGAGGCCAGGAAGTCTTGTTTTTACAGAAGTACTGTTTATGTTAGCAGCAAGACAGACAAAAAAAGATTTCTGAAACTGCCTACGTGCACAACCGAAGCGCTACCAGCCTCCAAAAAAAGCTGGCCTGCTCAGACACCTCAGCAGCAGTTTTTATGCCTCGCTTCTAAGCAACTTCTGCCTTTCTTTACAAAAAATCTAAAAACTGGAAGTTACTATCATTTTGATCCATGTTTTAAGAGGATCTTGATAATGATCAGTTATTTGCAATTTTCTTACAAGACAGAAAAAAATATTTTTCTTCATCTATATTGTTATTCTCTTTCCATGCAGTTCCTGAATCAAACCAAGTCACATTAATAAGCAGGAAAAGATGAGAAACTTTCACAAAAAATCTCCAATTACACAGCAATTCTAAGTACAGTAAGTCTAGTGCTACAGAGGTGTTTTTATCAGTCTAACTTTTTTTTCCTCCAAAGAACCAGTATTGTAAGACATACTCGGTTGCCAATGAAAGCTGCCTTTACATAAGGAAAGGAGTTTTTAATATGCTGCAGCCAACTTGTTTGCAAGGCAGATTTGGGTCGAGTGAAGTCTTTACGTGTACATTCTCCAACAGGTACAGGTATACCCGCGATCCCTTCTTCAGACTCCTAGTCATTCAAACCTTTTCAATGACAATATTGCTTCTTTTAATCGTCTAGTCGATTCTCTATCATATTGTTGCCTTCTTGACTCAAATCTTTCAATTGCTTCCTTTTATTAGCTTTTTTAATGCGTATTTTTGCTTTCTTGTCTTCTTTGGCCTTTATGAAGCTCTCCAGTCCTACACGCAAGAACATCCCATTTTGCACTTAGAGTTTTTTCATGTTTCTTTCATCTTGCTGGCTCCAATACCTGTTTTCAAGTCTTAATTTAAAGCCATCTGATCTGTTTAGTTCCATTTTTTTTGTTGCAGTCTCCTTTGTTCTTTCTGTACCTGCATTTAAATTTTCACATATTTTGAGACACACAGCTTATAAGAATATTTCACTGAAGACCTTCTTAAACTGCTTACATTGATAGATGTGTTTCCTTCAGTAGGATTTCCTTCTAAAGGAAGGAAACATGCTGCCTATGTTAAGCTATAGATATATGGCTGTCACCCAAACAAATTAAATACTCAGTTTTGCAGAACACACCAACCTAGAGGTGATAACGTTTGAAACTAAGTCTGCTCATTTCTTTTTGAGTTCCGGAACGCAAAGTGTCTTCATAATCCAAGAAGAATGTTAAAAGCTGGCTCCCTGTATTTACAATTCTCATCTAAGGAACAATACAAATGAGGTCAGATTTGCTCAAAGAAAGGCTAACTCAAGCGTTATTAATCTGCATCTGATACTAAATTGTTAGTGGAACCAGTTTTACATACTTCTAACATTGGAACTATCTTGGAAGACTGCTGAGGTCATCACTGCAAACGAAATGGTTTCCAATCATAGCACCTCTGAGGTTCCTGCTATCTCAATATAAAAATGTAAGATATTTTTATGTCAGGAGGCTGTGTCAGATTGCCAGTATGCTGTAATAACGATAAAAACAAACCTTTGGTATCATCCGATATGAATTACTGTTGCTCTACTGCATACAATGAAACAGTATTTTTTATATGACAGTTCACTAGATTATGGAAGT